TTATTGATATTGGATGATAAATACAATACAAGAGGTCCCTATTTATAGCTATACACTACAAAGGGATATTACTCCTCTTCCAATGTGGGACAAGACTACACTATACATATCTATAAACTAACAAACATAAAGTGAAATAATTAGAGTATCATTTCCACAATATTTGACACACAAAGTGGACTCAGATAAGCTTTTTTCAAAGCCTAAACTGAGTAAATGGTCATCAATTCTACTATACCAAGCTCTTGTGAGTGGCTCTCCAGGTTGACTTAGGAAAGGATTTCCTATTTTGCTTTCCAAACTGACATGCTTCGCAGTTTGGAATGGGATCATCGAACTCTGGAAGATCATTTGCCATCCTTTTAGATTTCATTCGCAACACCTCTTTTGCTGACTTCAGAGACATGATACGAGTGAAGATGGTGGATGAAACTGCAGCAAACAAGCATGCCTTTGCCTTTGACTTTCTGGTTTTCCTCTCCTTGTAATTTAAGATCATTTGCCATCCTTTTAGATTTCATTCGCAACAGCCCCTCATGATGATAGTGCCCGAGCCTCTTATGCCAAACTTTTGTGACACTTTCTTTGACTTGAAAAGCAGTTTGCTCCTCCTCCAATGGATTTAGTGAGAAACTCTTGCCCACCATTTTGACCTTGAATATCTCATGGCCTGATGGATCTTCTATCACACATGCTTTGTTTACGAAGTGAAGTCCGTATTCTTTCTCCATTAATTGACCAACACTTAGCAGATTTTGATCAATATCTGGGACATAGAGAACATCTGTGATAAACTTAGTTCCTGAACAACTTGCAATGGCTATGGTGCCTTTGCCTTTAGCAGGAATATACTCACCATTTCCAATTCTAACTTTCTTCGTCTCAGTGCTCCTTAACTCTTTGAACAGAGCCTTATCATATGTCATGTGGTTAGTGCAACCACTATCGATTAACCAACTTTCACTTGAATCGCAACTTGTGAAACAAGTTGCAACAAAGAGTTGATCGTCTTCTTCTTGTTCAACAACTTGAGCTTCTACTTCATGTTACTGAATTTTGCTTTTGCAAATTACAGCTTCGTGACCCTGCTGATTGCACTTGCTGCACTTTGCATCAGGTCTCCTCCAACATTTGAAAGGAGGGTGACCTTTTTTACCACAATGTTGACAAGGCGGAAAGTTTGTCTTCTTGCTTCCAGTCTTGATTTTGTTGTTGTTTCCAACATTCTCATTGTTTTCTCCTTGGATCTTTTTGTTCTGCTTCTTCTGGTTTCTTCTACAGTCTTGATGCTTCACTGGTAAGGCTCCTTCCACAGCTCCTTCTTGTCTCATAACACGTCGTTGCTCTTGTGCTTGAAAAGCACTCAAGAGCTCTGCTAGTGTGATTTTGGACAAGTCCTTAGTTTTTTCTAAGGTTGTAATGGTAGCCTCAAATCTTCCAGGCACCGTTACAAGGATTTTCTCAACGATCCTTGAATCGTTTAAAGTGGAACCCAACAATCTGACACGATTTGCTATGTTAAGAAGTCTGTCAGAATATTCCTTTATGGTTTCACTGTCTTTCATCCTTTGCAACTCAAATTCACGCACCAAATTCAGCACTTGCATTCCTCGAACTTTTTCATCTCCTTCATATTCAGTCTTGAAATAATCCCATACCTCTTTTGCTGACTTCAGAGACATGATATGAGTGAAGATGGTGGATGAAACTGCAGCAAACAAGCATGCCTTTGCCTTTGACTTTCTGGTTTTCCTCTCTTGTAATTTTTTATCTGAGCCATCGTGGGATTGTTTGGCAAGGGAGCAATTTCGTAATCATCTTCAACAGCCTCCCAAAGATCCAATGCTTCCAAATAGGTCTGCATTCTAACTGCCCAGATCTGATAACTTTCTCCATCAAAGGTTGGTGGTGCGATTGAAGAAAAACTTGTTTCTCCGTCCATGGCGTCCACAGGATCTGCTTGCACTCACACAGGCCCCTCAAGAAAAACAGCTCTGATACCAATTGTTGTTAATTTTAATCAACAAACCAGAAAACAAGTGAATATTTGTGATTAATGAAAGAGCAGAATATTAAAGGAATGAAGAACAGAGAAGAAATCTGAAAAGAGAGAGCATAAGACTAATATAGAACAAGGATACTTTTCATTGTAATATAAGTTATAATTTATAAGAAAAACTTAACTACTAACTTCATGGTCCTGAATATCAGCACATGATCTACTTTAAAAAAAAAACTAACGAAGATACTGGGAAAAGTAATAACTGCAGAATTCAAACTAAGTAACTGCAACTATTCACAGTAAAACTGCAGTCCTAAAACATAGCAACTAACAATCAGTTATTCCATACTTGATCGTAGAATCTTTGGAATCAGACTTATGTATTTACCTAACTTTTTGTACATCTCTTTCCGAAGCTGCTGCATTTGACAGTTTTAACCATCGCATTTTCTTTTACTTCTTCATTCTCACTTTTCTTTTAATCTGTGTTTCTCTAGGTTCTTGTGGAACTGTTTATCATGGGATGTGGTATGGATCAGTATGTTCTTTGCCTCTTCTCTTATTATTAATTTTTTTTACCAAGAGTTCTTTGCCCCTTCTGTTATTAAACTTTATGGAGAAACTATGTTCTAAGCAATTATTTGTCAGTTATTTCTAAACATACTGCAATGTTGATTAGATGTCATCGTAAACATATCATTTGTTCGAATATACATTTGTATGTTACCATTTACTCTGGGAGCTTATGCTTATAGCGTGGTACCACAATGGCTAACTCTGGCTTCTTGGCCCTATCATATGGATGATGTCAAAGTCTAAAATTTCTATAAGCCAGTATTTGTGTTGTATATTACATTAGGTTCCTCACACTCTCTTTCTAATCAACACTTGAAATCTGGATCTACTAGCTTTTTTCTAGAGGGAAAATCCATGAAAGTGTGACTTTTCTGGTTCTCCTTTGTAACATAATTATGTCTTTGCTGTGCAGGATGTCGCTGTTAGTTAAGGTATTTTCCAAGCAAGAATATTCTGATGAAGTGATATATTCTATTCCTTCAAACAGGAGGTCAGTCCTTTTTTTTTTCCATAAATTTGTCATGAAATGCTTTTGCTCTTTTTTACCCCCTGATTAAATATTTGTTTTCCCATAGAACTTTAAGCTATATGGCCATCATAATCACGGTCTTTCAGTTATTTCCTAAAAATCGCCATAAAATTGTTGTAGCCTTTAATGAGGTCTTAGATGCAGTGAACCAAGGTCAAACACACCAGCAATATTTTGCTACAAATTATATGCTTTGAATTGTTGAAGAGAAGGACAAAGCTGGATTATACTCACTGAGCACTAAAACGGAGCTTTTTATGCTCTTTGTCACTGATTTCTTGAAAGTTTGAACTTTTTATTGTAATCAATCCCAGTTAATGCAGCATCAATTTTCAAATGATGAGAATTAAGTTTGTCTAAAACAAAAATACCACTTTCCAGTTCATTAGAGACTATAACAATAGAATCCATGAAAATGTTAACCAAATATGATAAGGTACTAGTTGAAATTAAAATTCTCAACAAGAGAGATACATAAATAAGTGGTAAATTATTTGATAAATGCTAATAGTTTATCCAAGTTCTTCACCACCTGCATTATGCACTTAAACAAGGAACAAAGACTGAGAGCTATCTGTCTTCGAGTTCTTCTTTTGCTCGAGTCTTGGTTGTCTGGATAATTGTAAATCAGACATCCATGGTTCTGAATCTATCTATAGTATTCTATTAATTTTGATCAGCTTCCATTTGGAGTTCCTCCTTTTATTTTCCAACCCAGATGCTATCTGATTTTATGGATTTAAAGGCCAAAGAAAATAGTTCTACAACGTAACATCTCATTCATAGTATATATTGGAAAAGGTTATTTGCCTGATACTAGTTCATGGAGACTTAAGTTTAATGCTTTTCCACTCCAATTCAAGTAAGGTTGTTAAAATTATGCTAAATCCAGAAGCATCTCTCACAGGCTTTATGCTTATTTTTTGTAGGTGTCCCTTATGAAACATCTTCGACATCCAAATGTTCTTCTTTTCATGGGTGCAGTAACTTCACATCAACGCTTCTGCATTGTCACAGAGTTCCTGCCACGGTAAATTGTCTACCTTCTTTATGCTGAATAACCCGTTCCTATTTTCCCCTTCTGTGTGACAATTTATTTGGTTTTATTCTTTGTGACTGTATCAGCATTTTTCGTGTGTAACTATTAACCATTTCATCTTTTCCATTATGCAGGGGAAGTTTGTTCAGGCTACTACAGAGGTATTCATCCAAATTAGAATGGAGACGACGGATCCACATGGCTTTAGACATTGTAAGTTCCTATAAGACTTGGAAGACCAGTTACTTTATATATATATATATCAGACCAGCTTGCACGCACCTTGACTATTCCACCGGGTACCACCAGTTATATTAAATGTTACCATGAGTAGCATCATTTTTAGTCTTTTCTCCTTCATGTGTGGCTGATCATCAAATTCTTTCTGTTAGTATTATAATATTTATCTCAGATATTTGGAGCTACCAGGGTTATTCTTTTAGGTTGACAATCATGTTACACTTTTGTTACCTTTTTCAGGCTCGTGGCATGAATTGTCTTCATCATCATAACCCACCTATTGTTCATCGTGACTTGAAGTCATCAAATCTTCTTGTGGACAAGAACTGGACTGTTAAGGTCTGGCTTCAGTTCATCTGACTGTCATCGTTTCTCTTTCTCACCAATCTCCTTAATGTCTTTTACTAAAGAGGTTTTAGTATGTGGAAAAAGAGAATCTAACCGTGAAACTATCAATAGGTTGGGGACTTTGGTCTGTCACGTCTTAAATATGAAACGTTTCTAGCAACAAAGACGGGTAAAGGAACGGTATCAGCTTGAACTCAAACCTCTTCCTTACTGTGGTAGTAAGAGCTATTTTAGTTCACCTACGTTGTTTGAACTTCAGCTGACTCATATCACTTTCTACCTAAATTCTCCTGCAGCCTCAATGGATGGCTCCAGAAGTTCTTCGAAGTGAACCTTCAGATGAGAAGTATGTCAACTATGAGATACATGCATTTTTAGGCAGATTCCGGAATATTTTAATGATATCAATCCTTCTTTGGATGTGCGATTAGGTCTGATCTATACAGTTTACGGGGTGATACTATGGGAACTCTCCACTGGAAAACTCCCTTGGGATAACCTCAACTCAATGCAGGTATTATCGTTGGACAACAACAACCCAGTAAAATCCCATAAGTGGGGTCTGTGGAGGGTAGAGTGTACGCAGAGGTTGGTGAAGAGTTCCCCCCTCCCCCCCTTTTTTTTCCCGAGATGATAACATGTTGTGTATATTCAAAGGACAGCACATATGTTGTACTGAAACCATATTTACAGTCATTCAAAAAAAAAAAAAGATACACTGTTCTGCAATCCTAACAGGAAACTAGAATTCCTATGATAGAAGCAGTATCTTCTCTGTAATCCTGATTACACCAAAAACAAAAAAATAAAATACAATTTAGTTTGATTTTCTGCACAGAATTACTAACAAACACTTGGCATTCCTCTCATTCCAGATTGTCCACCAAATACATGCTGGGACAATCCTCCATCTATCTGTCTCTAGCTCCACTTCCAGCTTCATCCCAACTAAAGAGAGCTTCGGTAATCTTATTAGGCATAGTCCAGGATATACTTCTGAGATTAATAAAGGTTTTCCATAACTGGTCTGTTATCCTGCAGTGTAAAAATAGATGGGTGATTGTCTCTGCTTCTTCCCCACAAAGAAAACAGCCTCCTTTGCTAAAAGCCAAGTGAAGCAGGCTAAGGGATCTTGGCTTTCCAGATATGCTTCCATGGCCAATTAGTGATCTGTTGGTTTGGCTGACTCAGTAACTTGTATGCTATATTAACCTTGTAAATGCCCCTGCTGTGTCCCTGCCGCCATAGTGTATCCACCCCATTCTGTAAGAGAGGGGGTTTGACTGAATTCTATGAGCCCCCCACTCTTCACGCATAAGATAAGTAAAAGATAAAATTGGATTATTTTTCATCATAATATATATAAAGAACAGCTATTTGGAGTTGATTGCAGGTGATTGGAGCTGTAGGATTCATGAATCAGCGGCTAGATATCCCAAAGGATGTTCATCCACAGTGGGCTTCTATTATTGAGAGCTGTTGGCACAGATTTGCATCTTAGTTCTTTCTGCCATCATAATTTGTTTTGCTGAATCAAATAGCCCTATGAGGAATGCTGAAAACTTCTGAGGTGTACTGCATGACTTTCAAATATATTCTGAAGTTATAAGGGAGTTGTCCTTAGCAAACCAGGCTGAGATGACATCGGAACACATACAATATCGTCTTTGCTAATCTGAGAGGAAAAAAAGAAGACATTAATGGAGAATATGCAACCTGGGTAGCCTCTTGCAATGATATTAGTTTATACTGATGTATGGGACATTGAAGGTTTTATGTCAATCCCAGGTAATTCTGATGCTGCTTCGCCCAGTAACTTCTGAAAAACCCCCCACAAATTCTTGCTGAATCAGTTTAGGTTCAGTTAATCTCTCATCATATTCAGTGTAGATGCAGGATACTCTGTTTCTAGCTTGTCTAGCTTTTAACTGGCCATGGAAATACTTGGGGTTCGTTTGGTAGGATGTATTAG